CCTGGCACCACAAAAAACTAATGAAGTAGCCATTGTAAAGAGAAAAGCAGAGAAAGCAGTCAGCCAGCCTTTGGATCTCAACAAACGTGTTAACCGTGTTTTTGATGATTAAATAACTTGATAATCTTCATATTTAGAAAGCTTCTATTCATGTAATTTCAACACAACCGAATAATAACATGGCATTGGATATGGCTGACATTTCATTCTAAATTTATCCTAAAACCTTAGGAAATAGTGTTTCTGTATTATATTCACTATCCCATTCCCAAAGATCAAGAGGATGCTGGGGATCAACAACGGCTATCATCGATTATCACTGATTCCACCACCCCACTAGGATAAACAATGGAGTTTTATTTTTCGGCAACGGCTATCACTGATTCCGTCACTCCAATAGTGGCTATCACCGATTCCGTCACTCCACCAACGGCTATCACGGGATTTGTTAAGAGAAAATAAAACTAAGGGTTCTTATTGTTCAGTCCACCCCAATAAATTTTAGTTCTATTGTATATTTGGGGTAGATGCAGGCTCGGAATTGATGAATATACAGGTGGGTATTGATGTTATAAGTGGGAATATTTGAAATTTTGAATTATTGTAAATCTGCAGTAGAATTTATAATTCTGAAGTGGAGTGCAGTATAGTTTTTACATAAAACAACAGTTTTGGGACATGAATTTATGCAACAGTTCATCGCCACATCCCAATGCTGGTACATAGGGGTGCTCATGGTCCGGTTAACCAAATCATGGGGCATTTTTTTGAACCGAACCAATAGTACCGATTTTTGGAAAACCGGTAACCGAAACCAAACTAAAATCAATCGGTTCGATTTGTCGGTTTTTTGGTTTTTTAGTTTTTATAATATATTACAAAAATATATAATAATAAATTATAAATATATATAATATTATATTTTGAATAATAAACAATATATTACAAATACTTATATTTATATATAATGCATATTTACTAATTTATAATATATAAAATATATATAGTATACATAAATATATGTATAAAATATATAGAAATATATGTATACCGGTCAATTCAGTTAACCATCGATTTTTTATATTGATTAACCAAATCCAAATCGATACCTTCGATTTTTTAAAAATATCGAACCAAAACGGAACCAACTGGTTCGATTAACCGATTTTTCGGTTCGGTTTTTCAATTTCTTTTCTCACCACATCCCAAGCGAGTCTAGACTCCGGAGTCCCTCAAATTCTCCAAACATATCCGTATAGCGAAGTATTCAAGCGTTGCACAAACTAGTTTTACTAAAAAACTAGTGAATGACCCCGTACTAAGTACGGGGAAGTTAATTATATATATATATATATATATGAATAAACATTAATAATTTTTATTACCATTTTTTATTATTGTTTATAAACTGCCATTTTTTAAGTCACTCATACAGTCTACGGGTCCACATAAATTTACCCTTATATGTCAAACCCGTAAAATTATATGGGTCACTAAATTCAACTTGAACCATTTATTACTTTAATTTAACCATTCTTATTCTTATTATTCTTATTATTATTAATTTATTTTAAATTTGTAATTATTTAAATATTTACTTAAAATATTTTTTTCCAACCGACTATAATTATTATATAATAGATTTGTTAATTCATATTTTGCATTTAAGAATAAACATTAATGATTTGGCTTAACAATTTTAATG